CAGGGCTTTGTGGATTTTTGCAAATATTAAACACCAGCCATCACCAATAGGACTATTTCTAGAGAAGTCTATCCTTTAGCATGAAAGTGTTTCTAGGCAGATATTTTAGAGACTTGCTTTTACTACTTTCAAATAAAGTAACTATTTATCCATTTCCAATGTAAAGTTGTTGTTGGCACCACATTTTAAAAAAAGCCTGTAAGAAGACTGTCCAAGACCTTTTTGACTGAGGACAGCTTGCAACTAATAAAAGTGTCAGACTCACTTAATGCTTGTTAATATAATGATAAAAATTTCCTGAAGATTAAGTGACTTTTCAGCTAGCATGAGTCTTGTTGATCATAACAAACATGTATAGACATTTGAGACAAAGCAGAACTCAGGTATGAGTCACTTTTCTTCAATTTAAGGACTATGCTTTTGTTGCAGTCAGGAGTGGTAGATACCTCACAATAACACAGAAGCTTTGAAACACCAGCAGTCTGCTGGTCCCGTCCCCTAATTCTTTTTGTTGTCCTGTGCTATTTGCCTTCATCTTGGGTTGCTAAGCATGCTTATCTGGCCTGTGCATCTAAAGCCTCCAGAAAGATTGGTAATAGCATGGCCTAATAGCTTTTATCAGCTCACCCAGTGACTCTTGTATTTTGATGCTAGAAAGCCAAGAGTTAATCACATGATGCCAGGCTCCTCTGAACACTTTCCTGTTTGAACGATGCTGTTTATGTTTGTGGCTGCTCCACCCCTTCACTTTTTCAGTGAAGTGCACCCTACGGACAGAAGATAGTGGCTCTTTTGCTGTGCTTTCTCTAATTTCATGGTTTCATTTTATCTAACTCAAGCGAATCACTAGGTGTGTTGTACACTGCAACAGGATAAATCCCTCCTTGCTCTCTCTCTCTGGTTTCATATTTTAAACTCCCACGATTTCTCTGCCCAATATCTATATAGAACAATTGACTGAAAATAAAATTGTTGATAATTTATTTCAGTTTATTTTATAAGCATACTTATTTTCTTCCTTTTTTGTAGGAAAACATGTCAAGGAAATTTATTAGGTGAAGCTGTTTTATTTTAAATATTAACTAATAATAGGAATTATTAAATAGTGAAACTTTTAAAAAACTCTCATTTACTATCATAACTCATATTATACAGAAGATGATAAGCATCACAGAATAAGTGTTTTGCCCTTTACAATAGATTAAACTATATTTTCAGTGATCTATGAGAAATATAATCTTGATTATAGCTTTCTGATAAACTTTATATTCAATAAGTGTGATTTCCCTGAAAAGCAGTAAGGTTCAGAAACTCATAGACATGACAGAAAGCAAACATACTTTATTTTTAAAAACATTTATTTACTTATTTATTTAGAGGGTGGTTCTGGCTCATACGGTGGTTCTGGCTGGCCTTTAACTCATGGCATTCCTCCTGCCTCATCCTGATGAGTGGTGAGATTACATGCATGCACCACCATACCTGGTTGTAAATACACTTTAGTGGTTAAAATGTCATAGATTTTTTTTTAAAGGGATTTTAAGGTAAGGGCTGACAAGGAACTGGAAGCTGAGTTTCCACTTACTGGTTGTATATTCTTCAATAGTTAAACTCTAAGATCTCATATCTTACCAAATAAAATGATACTAATATTCCCAACTCAGAAATTTCCCAGCAAAAATGAGACAACTATGAAAAATGACTAAAAAATACTGAAGTACAGATGCTAACCTTCCTTCAGAGAAAACTGAGTAAGGAGAGTTACTAATCTAGAAGACTACATTTTCTAGGGTGTGTTCTACTAAGTCAGTTTGGAGAAACCACCCTTGGAGTGATCGTGTCCAGGCAGGAAGAAGGCAGAGATGCTGGCTTGGATGAACTGGGATAGGAGGTTGAATTCAAGGCTGGGAGAGTCACAGCTCCAAATTTCAAAGTCAGGGTTCCAAATATCAAGCTTCCTTCTCTGTTATTTTGCAGCAGCGTGTGCCATGCCAGTACTGCCTGTCCTGAACAGGTTTGGTTACTTTACTGCATTTAAGAATGTTTACATTTTAATTATTGGAACCTTTACTTATTTTAATTATATACTTGCAAGGAATAGAAGGAATTTTCCTCTCCTGCTCTTCCTCTGCCTCTTTTCTTTATAGAATATATTAACTCCCATTTAGGGCTATCATAAAAACTGGAAGATTCGAGCTTAAAATCACAAAGTGCTTGGTTGAAAAGTGGTGTGTATGCCCTCATACTCTCTTATGCTTGTGCATTTACATTTAGCCTTGCTTGCAGAGAAACAGAATTCATCTTGAATTGCTTTGTGCCATTTCCCTCCCTGTATTTCATTGGCCCAGACATTTTCTTTGCTTAACTTTAATGTTTATCAATAACAACTAGCAAGACATATTGTGATGCTAGCAGAAAATTCCACAGGACCCACTCACACTGGGGAAGGGGAACATCTGCTACTTTCATGTTAGAATTCTAGGATGTAGAGGTCAAGGCTGAAGGCTGTGGAGATCGGGGGAAGCATCAGGCTGCAAACAGCATAATGAATAGCAGTTGCTGACTGGCTGGGTTTGCCTGTTCTCATCAGGGGATCCTGCTCTTCCGTGTAATGAACTAGCACTGGTGTGCAAAACACAACCAGCTTGGATATCAAATTGAGGCGGGCTGTATCTTTTTCTCCCTGGGTCCTGAACTACATTTTCATCTTGAAAGAAATTATATTGAGGTCTTCATAAGTGGCACCCAGCAGGGGGAAGGCTTCACGAAGGCTGATAAGCACTAGGGCTAAAAAATGATCAGCCTTTGTGCCTGGAGTTGAAGGTTTAAGTTGCTTGAACCGGAAAGAGTCTGAAGAGGCGATTATGTTAAGCAAGTAATGTGTCTCGGTAACATGGAATCAAATTATTAGGGTCAGTAACTTCCTGGCTTTCCCAGTGCATTAAATGAAGATGTAATATTGCATTTGTGCCGTGTACCTTTTGATGCCACACAGTGTCAGCACTGTCTGGGCGTCCGTACTTCACAGCATGTCACCTCTAATTTCATGGGATTACTTGCAGTGTTGCTTTATTAGATACTCATGCTCTTCAGCTTCCTTTGAACTCACAGCAGAGCGATGCAAAGTCATTTTTGTGAATACTTCTGTGCTTTTGGTGCTACATACAAAATTATTATTGCTATCATTTAGAAAGGTAGATAGGTCTGGCTGTCATGCTTCCAAAAGTGTGCACGTACTTGTTGGCAGGAGAAGCCACCGAAAGGGAAAACACTGAATACAAAGATGCTTTTGAGGATTTATTTTATTTTGTACATTTTTGCAATGCATAATTATTACATTCCTCTGGGAAATGTGTGCACCACATCTCAATTCTGTTTTTCACCTGGTTACCTTTCCCTTTCTCCTCCATCTCATGGTCCCCCTCCCTTTCCTTTTATTTTGATCTTTGTTTATATTTTGGGTTCTTAAATAAGACAAGCTGTGCTCTGTTTAACCTTCTGCACCTCATTTATTTCACTTAACATTATGATCTCAAGAGTCATCCATTTTCCTACAGATAACCAAAGTGTATCCTTCTTTATGGCATAAAACCACTGCATGGCGCATAAATGCCAGAGTTTTCCTTTGTCTGTTGATGGACATAGAGGCTTCTTTCAAAATTTCACTGTTATGAACTGTGCTGCTATAAGCATGGTGTGCGTGTATCCCTGTAATACAATGCCTTTAACTCTTTTAGGATGTTATCCAGGATGAGAATACTTGGGTAGAATGAAATTTCTAGTTTTAGTTTTCTGAGAAATCTCCATATTGATTTCCATAGCATTTTTACTAGTTTACATTCCCACTAACAATGCAGAAGGGTTTCTTTTTCCCAGCAGCCTCTCTAGCATTTGCTATTAATTTGATTTCTTGATGTAACTGTTCTTTCTGGAGTAAGGCAAAATTTCAGGGTTGTTTTAATTTTCATTTCTTTAATAGCAAGAAATGTTGAATATATTTTCAGGTACTTATTGGCCATTTGTATTTCATCTTTTGAGAGGTGTCTGTTCATTTCAGTTGGCCATCTATTGAGTTTTTTGAAATCTTTATATATATTCTTAATATTTAATATAAAAATCAAATTCTATAGACTGTCTTTACACTCTCTGGGATGTTTCATTTATTATGAAGAATTTTTATTAATTTGATATGATGCTATTTATTGATTCTGGGTTCCATTTCTTGTATAATTGGGATTCAATTCAGCAAATCCTTGCCTATGCTTATGTCTTCAAGAGAGTTATTTTTTTCTTCCAGCAAGTTAAATGTTTCTGTTTTAACATTTAGTTCTTTAATTTATTTTCATATAAATTCAGTATGTGACGAGAGCAATGGCTCTAATTTCAGTCTTCTGCGTGTGGAGAGCCAGTTTCCCCAGCACCATTTGTTAAAGAGACTATCTTCCCTCCAGTGCATTTGACCCCTTTGTCAAAGATCAGACTGCTGAATGTTCCTGGAGTTGTTTCTGTATCCTCTATTCTGTTATTGAGGACTTATTTTAGAAAGGTGTCAAGGCAGTGAATTAGTATTAGAAAAGTATGTAATTTACAGTGGCTTTCAAAGTGCAGTTCCTTAGGCCAGCTGTCTCAGACTCACTTAGGAGCCTGTGAGAAATGTTAAACCTAGGGAATCAGAAACTAGCATGGGGCTGTGTTTTAACGAGTCTTCAGGTGATTCCGACACATGCTTAGTTTGCCCTGCTCTCGCATTTGTGGAGCACATATCCTGGGGATATAGCAGTAGACGAAACAGGTGAAACAGGTGCCCTTGTGGACCTTATTAAATTACAAAAGAAGATGAGGTACTTTGTTGTTATGAAATGTTTATCTCTATCCTAGCAGAGCCTGTAATTATCATAGATACCATTATATTCTTCATTCGAATGAGCCTGCTATCCTCTTTGGTATCAGAAGATAACTAACAATACACAACTAATAAGTGATTCTTTTTTGCATTTCAGAACTGTGCCCCTTGCAATATGTATATCTATGGTTATTGTTACCATTTGCTACGTGCTAACAAATGTGGCCTACTTTACAACCATTAGTGCCGAGGAGCTGTTGCTTTCAAATGCAGTGGCAGTGGTAAGTCCAAGTTGAAAAACTGCCAATTTGAATTTAGGTTAATGAGTTGATGCAATTTTATAGTAGTTCCCTCCAGGAGAAAGTGTTTTGGAATTCAGTTATCTTTTATTGACCTGAATGATAATAACTGTTTGAAAAAATGAGAGTATACCTTTGCATATCCCGTTTAACCAGTGCAGGTGAAGCCCTTAACAGTTTCTCTCACTCTTATTTTCTTGTAAAAACATTTCCACATATACCTGCTTAAAAATATGTCAAAGACTTTTAAATTAAAGGTGGTATTCTTTAACGCATTTTTAAAGGACAGGTAGACTGAGTCTAAATAAATGTGGTTTTTTGGATATGCAAATTGCAATTTATTGTGCAGTTTCCTGTTTGTAAACTTTTCAATTTCTGGTTTAAAATCTTTTAAAGAAAATACCACTAAAGAATTTTCGGGTGAACCGTGGGTATTTATGTTTTCCCCTATAGCCTTTGACTACTTGTCTTGGGAAAATAATAAATTTGGGAAACTTTGGATGATTAAATGTTCAGTAGATGTTGCTGCTGTTAGTACTTCTCAGAATATTAAAAATGCTAGTGTGTGTTTGAACTCTTGCAGAAGTGGATACATATAATTTCACAACATTTTCCAAAGTTTGATACCAGGGCTGTCTTTGTCCCCAAAGATCAAGTCATAGGATTGCTATTCTGTGACAAATACTTTTACTTTGCATAAAATTTTAGCTTGTAAGAGAATATGTACTCTTGACCTCCTAACAATGAAAGGAGAAAAATTAACTTCACATCATTGAATGTCAAGTCCTTTTAAAATAGTCTGTATTACCTCAGATAGCACCATCCACAGGGAATAAATTAGCTCATGTTGGGTGAACCCATGTGTGGGTTCACGGTATTAAAAAGGCTTTGTCCACTGCCATATATCCTATCACAAAATCAAATGTACAAAGCTTCCTGATGTCAGGTCAGTTGTCTCATCTTTCTAGACAAAGGGCAGCACTTATTTTTGGGGTATAATGTTGTCCATTAATTGCATAGTACCAGCTGCATCAAGGACAACTAAAGAGTCCCACATGTTTTGAGACAATAAATCCTTTAGGGAAACTTACAATGTTATGTATAAAAGGAGATTTTAGAATTTTGTTTGTCTTATATATTTTCTCTGACTTTTTGGATTTGTGTTGGTGTCTTAGCCTTTTTATAGGAAAGCACAAAATTATTGGAGAATGAGAAAGTGACTCCATACACAGAGGCTCAGCTTGTGTGCAGAGCTATTCATGCATAAATTTGAAAGCAATGGAATCATCTATTGTTTTACGTATCCCCTAGTATGGGATTGGTATAAGAAACAAATGTCTGTAATTCTCTATGTATATCTACACTTCACTATAAAAGTATGGCTTTCTAGACTCAAGGGAGGATATTGGACAGAAGAATTTCTGTCTTCAAAAGTAGAATGTCTGAATTAAGCTTTTTACATTTATGAGAGTCTAAGATGATACATTATGGTTGATAAAGATTCAGCAAATGGATCATTGCCCATGAAGGTGGAGAAAGGTGCTTGTTTAGACCTTTGGCCATAGCTTTGCAACGAGAAATGCCATGGTACCTGCTTCTGATTATTGTCTGTGGAGTGAGTCTGACCCGAACCAAACAGAAAGGTTATAAACCACACGCATATCACTGGGCTAATAGAAAGTCACAGAGCACGGTTGACCTAAATTGTTTCATTTTATGCTTTCTGGAAAAGTATTAATTTGCTTCATTCATTCTTTCACTAGACATTTGCTGAGCGGCTACTGGGGAATTTCTCCTTAGCAGTTCCCATCTTTGTTGCCCTCTCCTGCTTTGGCTCCATGAATGGTGGTGTGTTCGCTGTCTCCAGGTGAGTGAGTTCGTGTGTTTCCAGAAACGCATTTCTGTATTTGAGATTGGATGTGATAAGGATAACTTTAAAGTGAAAGCAACAGTGCCTCCAAACCTGGTGTCTTTAAAGGGACAGGCACATTCATAGTCGGTGTGAGCATCAACAGCATGTTTTCTCTGCCCGTTAGAGGGCACTGCTTGTCTGTGCAGAGCACACGCTGAAGACAGGCACAAGGCATTTTTTATAGTATGTCCACAGAGCCTAACAACAGCGTTTTATTTCTGGTGATAAAATCTTTTGTTTTTCTAAAAGCTCCATGAAAAAAAAAAAAAAAAAAAGTAAAGTAAGAGACACCAGAAATCACCATCTGTATCCCTTTTCTTTTGTGTGATGCAGAAGTCCTTTTAGTTTCAACATGATAAAATTAAAACCTGATCAGATAGATGGGAATGCTGCCTCTGTGTAGGTGTGTGTGTGTGTGTGTGTGTGTGTGTGTGTGTTGGATTGTACTGATGACACACATGCAAAATGTGCACAACTAGGACTCTAGAACTAAATTGTCATTCAGCTATTTACATTGTAAGGAGAACCATGCTGAATCTCCTGCTGCTACGTTTCTCCTCCGAGAATTACGTAAGATGTTGGCAGATTTTATAAATTGAATTCAGGGTTCATAGATGTTCTCTATCTTATCTGAAAAGTGAAACCTAAGTAATCAGCTAAGACATGCCAAACCATTTGGTTTGAGACAGATGTGAGTGTTCTTGGGATTTCTGGATTTTCCCTGTGAAATGATCAATCATACAGTCAACTCCACCCACATTTCTCTCCCATCAGGTTATTCTATGTTGCGTCTCGAGAGGGTCACCTTCCAGAAATCCTCTCCATGATTCATGTCCGCAAGCACACTCCTCTACCAGCTGTTATTGTTTTGGTAATGCATATTAACAAGTTTATCTAGATAAAACCTCAAATAACAAAGTAGCAAAGAGAAATTCAAACAGACTTTAGCCGGTGCTTTACTTTCTCCTTGGCTCTCCGTGTGTCTCAGTGGAGTTTGGCAGGCAGGATATTTTCCATTGCTTCCCTTTCCTTGGCTTTTCTGATGGATTTCTGATGCTTTAGGGCATGAACTCTATCACTTCTCTTTTACCTTTGTGGAAATTCCTGAGGGCAGAGGAAAATAATTAGTGTGGCTCCTTTTATTGACAGAGAACCTCAAAGGAAAGGATAGAGCGTGAAAGTCCTAACTACTCACAGAAGACACAGCTAAAATCCACTGTCCAAAAATAAATACCTCTACGTCTTCTTATGGATCCCCTATAATGAAATGCACACAAAGAACTGATGAGAAAATCGATGAAATCCTAGATAGCACAGTGATGCTTAATACAGGAAAGAAAGAAAAGCACCAACAGTTACATTTAAGTTGTAGAATTCTCAGTGCAGAGAAAAGTATTTGTGAAATATGGGATACAAAAGACTTTAAAAGATGTGAAAGTCCTCAGGTAGCCATGGGGGATGTTATGGTCATTTTTACCTACAATTCCGTAACATTTTTCTCAACTGGAATCTGCTGTCAGAGGTATCACAGAATACAGTGACTATCCCTCCCCTCCTTGTACATTTAATTTATTTCACAATGTTTCCTTGAAGCTTCTTTTTAAAGTACTGCGTACTCTCTGTGAGGAGTCTGGAAGTTAACGTCACTTGTGGGAACAGAATGTGTTATTCCGTGAAGAAGGCTTTCATTTTCAGCGTGTACTGAAAATGCCGTCCTTGGCATGTGCAGCTGTGTGCTTTGCTCTGCTGCTCTCAGCATTTCATCCTTTCCGAGGTCTTGAGGGTCACACATGGCAAGCACACGGGGACAGTGACTGTGGAGGAAGAAAAGGTCAACGTTTTGCATTCAAGAACCAGCAGCTTCACCTAGAAGTGGCTGTGTTCATGTGTGTGGATAGCCAAGCCAAGTCGGAAAACATTCACAGAGCTTTATTTTTTGGAGTTTTCTAATTAGGCTCACACTTAATGTTTATTATTGGTTATTTCCTAATCATCTCAATCTTTGGGTCTTTGCATCTTGAATGATTGAATATCTTGCCTTTTGCCCTTTGAAAACACATTCTCTTCTCTGGAATTTGAAAGGAACTAAAAACAAAACATCCATTTAAAATTCCACTCTAATAAAGGGTAATGATAACGACACTGGTGTAAAGGGATTCTAAGAGCAGAGTGTAGAAAAGAAGCTAGTGAATCTGGGTTTTGATCATGATAATAGTTTATCAGTACAAGTAATCATTTGAAGACGATGACAATAATAATCATAATGTGCAGTGATACGACTGTTTGCTACTGTGTGTTCCTGTTTAAATTCACCAAACTTGTTTCTTCTCTCTTTTCCCTCAGCACCCTTTGACAATGATAATGCTCTTCTCTGGAGACCTCTACAGTCTGTTGAATTTCCTCAGTTTTGCCAGGTGGTTTTTTATTGGGCTGGCAGTTGCTGGGCTGATTTATCTTCGATACAAACGCCCAGATATGCATCGTCCTTTCAAGGTAACCTCAGCAATCTTGATGGGTTTACATAAATCTTTCTCCTAATATCCAGCCCTCCCTCTGTCATAACTGGATGATGGGGTGGTTGGTGGGGGCAGTGTCCTGTGGAAGGAAATGTTTAACTCTTGCGTGGAGTGACTTTGTAGGATTTTAACTTGAAAAAAGAATCATTTGTGCATTTTTAATGTGACGTACTGAACTCTGTATACCTCTTTTTCAAAAAGAAGTATGTTTGTTTGTATATTTGCTATGTTGCTTCTTTACAAATGGGTCCAATGACCTGAGCTAGTCAAAGGATGGGTTACTTTTCTCTTCATGCTCCGTAGTCATGAATAGGCTGTGCTGAGAAAAAGTGAGGCAGATGCTTTATTAATTAAAACAATAAAAAGGATGCTGCTTTATGAAATAGGCATTTTAAACACTTAGGTGTTGTGAGTTGTTACACTTCTGTTTATCTACGTTATGTATCCTAAAGAAACGGAAATGTAAAATACACAAGGTAAGAGAAGACCTATGAATTTACCACTTAATAGAATATCCACTTACTATAATTAGCATTTTCTTTCGAAAGTGCTTGCCATTGTCTTCAGTCTTGAATGCTCATGGATTGATTTGACCTCACCATTTATTTGCTTTTAAGAAATGGTACAGATAATGTTGTCAGTCATGTGTCAGAGTTTGTTTCTAAATGTATTCATTGCCTAATGCTGGCAGCATCTTTATCAGTGGTTGAATGGGAGTTGGCCCGTTTTATTCCTGTCAGTCCTTATTGTGGATCTCAACAGAAAATCAATATGCACTGAAAGGCTTGGACATGTAACAAGCTGCTGGTGCTCTTGATGCCACCTAAGAGTGGATCCTAATCATAATTATCAAAGAGCCAATCTTTTAAAATCAAAAAAATAAATCATAATGGCACTTCCCTGGTAAAATAACTCGATTAGATCATCTCTAATGAAACACACCTTTCCATGTGAAGACATTTCAAATTAAAACAAGATAACTGTGCTGAATACATTCTGTGTACCCACATGGGAGATTCTGCTGCCAAGTGGGTTGGTGCCCATCACAGGGCTGAAGTGTATGCGTCACTGAAGCGCACTGCATGGTGGATGCCATCTTGAGCCCAGCTCCTGAATCCTGAACTCTGTCTGAAGCAAACGTCTTCTGTGCTGTGTTCCAGGTGCCGCTCTTCATCCCTGCACTGTTTTCCTTTACGTGCTTCTTCATGGTGGCCCTTTCCCTTTATTCTGATCCATTCAGCACTGGCATTGGCTTTGTCATTACCCTGACTGGGGTCCCTGCATACTATCTCTTTGTTATTTGGGACAAGAAACCCAACTGGTTTAGAAGAACATCAGGTAAGACTTTCCAGAATCTTGTGACAGACCATGTGGTGGAAAACTCAAAGATACGTCTCTATCTGTCTTGGTCTCTATCTCTACAGATAAAGATACAGGTATCTAGAGATAAAGATAGAGATTGATATATAGATATATACAGCTATAGAAATATAGATATAGATACTTTTTGAGGTAGGGTCTTGCTGTGTAGTTCAGGCTAAACTTAAACTCATTTTGTAGCCCAGGCTGACCTCAAACTGGCAGCAATCCTGCCTCAGCCTCCCAAGTGCTGGGACTAAAGGTGTGTGCCACTACGTCTGGTGTGTGCATATGTAGCATGCGTATCTCACAGTTAAAATATGTAAATGGCACAGTTGCTTTCTGGAATACATCACTGCATTTTAATTAGGACTAAGAGAAAAAAAAGCAGAAAGGACATTGAGGATACAGCGTTGAATCCTTTCAGGATCTGCTTAATTTGGGCTGCTTTAATCACTTCTTAAAAGAAAAGCTTTTTTGATAGAATTCTATCAGACATTCTGTATGCCACCCAATTGCTCTTTTGAATCCTTTAGTAACCTAATTATTTTCCTGGATTGAATGGAGTTTTGTGCTTTTATATCATAACATATAACTTGATGAGTGATGTGAGATTTGTTGGTGAGTTCTACAGAAGATTACAAGGTCTTCAGTTTTACAGTGGTAAGCACTGCCTTGTTAGAAATGGGGTCAAAATAATAGCAAAAGCAGCAAGGAATAAGCACTCCCTTTTATAGTGCTGCTGCTATGTGTTTGTACATGTGTGACCTCCTTTAGTCACTGTGACAGTCCTCTGAGCTAGGGAAAATCACCCCATTCATAGGTTTGAGTCATAGCGTGGCAGCATGCATGTCACTGTACACAGGCCCTACAGATATAAAGTAGGAGAGAATCCAAACTCAAGCAGTTTCATATTTCAGGGTAGATATTTCACCTGGGGGCTGTGAGCATGGGTTAGAGAGGGTTGAGGCTGACGATACTGAACTGAATTTGATGGTCTCTGGGGCACTCCCAGTGAAATGTGGTGGAGACTCTGAACACAGGCTATGGCGGCAGGCTGTGCTGAGGGAAAGGGCAAACACTGAGGTGCAAACCCAGTAGGACTTGAGACCCGCTAAAGTGAGCACAGGAAATGTAATAGATCACCGGGTAGAAGGGTGGTGAGCATCCTCATGCCTTTCCCTGTGTCACCATCTGAGTTCTCAACAAGCCTCTTGTGTCCAGAGGGGACGCCAGAGCCCAGGGAGATGGGGTTTATTTTTTATTGCACCCATTTTTAACTGCTAGGATTTGAACCCATGCTTGCTGGGCTTCAAAGTTCATGCTTTTTCTAAGTTAGGTGCTTGGTGTTAGAGAAAATTAGGGGTTGGGAAGGACAAAATGTAGACAGAGGGGAACCCCTCTCCTGTGGCCTGGCTCCTAAATTTGGTGAACTTGGAAAACGGCCTCCTTTTGGTTTTGTAGTTCTTTGTTTTAATGTACTTAGTTTATCATCATTAATTTTTAAAATCCCAGCTAAAATCCAGGGAGATTTCTGACACAATTGTTAATAAATAATAGAAGTGCTTAAAGAAAAACAAACAAGAAAACCTGGGTGTTTCCATGAACAGTGAGAGACAGCAAACAGATCAGTGCTTATCTCTGTGAAGTGTAGACTTAGAGTCTCTAACACGTTACTCAAACTCATCTGGAAGCCAATCACCTAAAACACAGCTTTGCTACTACATCTTATTAGTTTTTAATTGGAATATCGTTAGACCACTGTTTCTTCCTGGATTTATAATCTAGCTTGCCACACTATTCTCCAAAGCAACATCACTGTGCAAGTTAGGTGTTTTTCAAGGCGAACACAAGCGCACTGATTGATTTAAATGTTTAATTTCTGTTTCTTGTTAAATTGTATTAGTTTTTTGAATAGTTTTAGGTCAGATTTCTCTGTTGAAGATACTCAATATTCAGCCTATTTTGCAGTGAGGTGGGGAAAATCATGGGGACCATTTATCATTAAGATTGCATAACTTATTATTCAATAATGATTAAGACAGGATGGTGCTTACCACTGTGAGATCCATGTGTAAGACAGTGATCACTTCTCAGCACTGTGGAAAAATAACACGTAGAAAGAAAGAGCTCCACCCCTTAAACTGAAGGAGAAGCTGGAGAAGCATATGAAAGAGCAAATTTCTTACCCAGTCCTACTCTGTAGGCATTGTGTCCTTGTTTGCAGTCAGCCAACTCCTGAGTTCTTTCCTCTGTTGACATGTGTGTATTCCATGCCAACTCTTTGTCATTTATATACCAACATACAGTCTTCACAATTGATCATTCTTTGCTGATTCTTTGTTGTCTATCTATGCTCATGTAATTTGGGAGATTGCTTTTATTTTAGTGGTAGCCATTGGTGAAACTTGCAGCCATGGAGTAGTCCCAGAATGGCTATTTGATGCTTAAAAATGCCATTAAGTCTTACTAGGGAGCATGGCCATCCTGCCTTTAAACTGTGATTATTGTAACTCTTTATCTTTATAGCTGCCTTGAAAGAGAGTAGCAGAAAGCAACAATCCTCTGTAATTTTGTTTGATTTCCCTCTTAGGCAGCATTCTTGTAGTAAAATAAAGGAAATTCATAATATTTATTGCTTGCAATAGCAAATATTTTCTTAGCCTTTGGCCAAAACAAAACACACAGACACAAAACAATGAAGTCCTAAACTGCTACCAGATCCTTTCCCAAAGATGTACATTTTGTTAGAGAGAAACGGCAGTGAACTTAGAGATCCAGAGAGCCTATGCTTGGAGCATTGTGTTCAGTGATTTAATATTACATTGTTTTGTTTGGCAAAATTCTTTAGCTTTTATGCCATCATTTGTGCTTTGCTCTAATATATGTGAGTCAATCAGCCTGAAAGGAGAATGAGAGTTCATCAAAATACATCTTACCTGGCTATTTCCATGAAGAATGCTAGGCAACCAAACGACATTCAGGAAAGAGTGAAAGGCTGCTAGGTACAGAAAGCCAGGGATATTCAGAACCTGAGCAGCTGAGATTTCAGAGATCGGATGAATCTATTTGGCCACAGGATGCCAGTATTGAACCACTTTTTGTGTGAGAGCATTTCCAGGGTGGGAAGAAAATGCACTCTTAAGGGGATAGTCAGATAAATAAAAAGCTTTTTTCCTACCATCTGGAGCAGAGTGGTTAATTCTTCTGGTTGGCCGTTGATGTTATTCACTTAATTATAGACACACAAGCTTCTCACGCAAAGAAAAAGGGGCAGATACCTTACTGACATACATGGATACACAGAGATTGCAGGACCTGGCCAGGGACTGCATCATGGTTTCGAATGGCTGCTTCTATTTATCAGCTAAGCCATATCATCACCACTGAAAGTGTGGCCATTCTAGTCTAGATAGGGAGGACAGCCTGCTTTGTACAAAGTTATTTGTAATAAAAAATCATTCCGAACAATGCCAACAAAGGAACATATTCGTGGACAAAGGCTTTGCAACTCTAGGGTTCTCAAAACATTAACTGCCCACATTGTGTCAAGTCAGCTTCCTTTCTGACATATGGTTGGAAGCTTGTTAAAGTATTTGCAGACTTCCCACAGTCTGAAGTGTAACTTTTTAAGTTCACTAAGTTTGCCTACATTCTCAGGGGCCCAAATGATCCTCATTGTAGTGAAAAAAGATTTAGAAGGCTTTAAAAACACTGTTACTCTTTTTTTTTTAAAAACACTATTATTCTTAACTAACTTCCTGGACATGTTGGCCTTGTGCTAATTCAAAGACTTGATTTTGGCTGTAGCTCCCATCCTGGTACCAGGTGTGGTTCAGTAAATCAAATTTTTGCAAGTTGGTTGTGTTTCAAATTATTTCAAGGAAAACAACTGAACATGAACGGTACAGCTAAAAATATTACAAATGCTATTGGGCCCTGCAAATTGCAGTTACCGAAAGCTCCAAATGTAGACTCCTTGGCTCTCCTTACAGAAGTGGTAACATGGGATTGATTGTTCCAGACCCACAATCCTTGTCGTGAGCATGCATGTGAACATGACCCTGGAGTGCCACATATGCTGCAGCTTTGCTGGGCAAGCAGGAAGCTTCCCAGAGGCTTAGCTGGCTCTGTTGAGCATCCCTGTCTGACCCCACCGTTACAAGAAAATCAAGGAAGAAAAATTGTCCAGGCTAAAATCAATCACTCTGCATCGTGCTCCATTATGATGATAATTATTCAACTTTTGAGATCCCAAGAGACAGCGTGAAAAGAGGCAGGATGAATGAACAGAACTGATTGAACATGGAGGACAGGCAGAAGAGAAAAGATTCTTTGGCCTTCTCTGTGCTGCTGTGCTGAACGAAGAATCCAAATTATGTTTTGAAAGAAACAGAATGATATCCATTGTTAGAGAGGTTGGGTCCAAGTTGCTCCCTGTTTGTCTGGGACAGATGCAGTGTTCAGATGTAGGAAGCAAGATGTCTGCAAAGCAAAGGGCTGGGAGTCCTAGAATATAGGCTACCTCTTTTGGAAAAGATTTGACGTTGGGTATAGAGGAATGGAAGTTGAGGAAGAAAGGCAGCTGTGCAGGGATTAACTCAGGAGCCAAGGGCAGGACTTCTCCAAGGAGGAGGAGCTGGCTCAGAGGATGTTTCCTTAATGTCCCTGCTTTTTGCCCATTGTAAATGCCTAAGACATCTTACTTTCTTAAAAACCTGCTATCAGAGAGCCTCAGTCCCTTATCTGCTTACAAAAGCCACATCTCTGTTACTATCGATAAACTTACTTTTCTCACTAAAGTCTATTTTTGTAGGATAAATTTACCATTTCCCTTTTCTGTGAATATGCTTTTTGGTGAACAGCTCTTGAGTACTGTATTATGCTCTCCATGTAGAGTGGGCTGTAACAAAATGCAGTTACTTAAGAAACATTTTCAGAGAGTTTATCACTTTCCAGCATTGTACTAGACCATGTATAACTAATGTGGACTAAGGAGTAGTACACTGAAGAAAACAATTTTGGGGAACAAAATTTGAAAGCAAAGGAAAGAAGTATCTTTCTTAATATCATTAAGTAGTGGTTTCAAGAAGTTATTATAAGTAACAAGGCTTAGATGAGAAGAAAGACAGTATATCCAGATAAAAGATTCATCAGAAGAATGGACTCTAGACTGCTCCTGGCTTATGTGAAATATGAACAGGTTCTATGCGGGTTTAAGACAAAGAGGAAAACAAACTCAAAGTCTCTTCAAATTGGAGTCACAAGTTTTTAAGACTATTAAGATGAAGTTCTTACATTTTAGCTTGTATCAAAATCACTGGTTGCGGGTCCAACTCTCAGTAAGTCTAGAACTGAACTCACTTTTCTCTGATGCTGCTGCTTCATGTGGTTGGTTCATGTAGACGCGCACCCTAAGAACCAGTAATTTAGTTCTAGTATCACATTCTACCTCTGAGACAAATTAGGTTCTGGCAGATGAGATGATTTGCTCAATATACATTTCACATTAGAGACTGGAAAATATATTGGATTCTTCTGAATAATTGATTGTGGTCTCACAGGTGCAAAAAGACCAATCCAATTTTCAATTGAATATAAAGCATATTTTTGAACATTTATTTATATCTTTGTCAGATTATCTCACAGTATTTTCAGTCTCCTGGTTCATGGCTAAAACTCTTCCTTTGAATGTAAAATATTAATGCATTCTTGCTGAGAGAAGACCATTGTGAAGTTGTAAAAGTGACTAGTAAGTTAGTTCAACATGATAGGGTTCTAAGGAAGTAACTAATTCTTGAAAGCGATGCATAAAAGAGTGGTTGTGTATTTTTAGTACTCAGACTGAAATAATTCAAATTTTAGTGATTTGTGCATTTCTGATTTCTATGCATTTTTAATTTTGTTTCTGAATTTCTTTGCAGACATGATAACCAGAACATTACAGATAATACTGGAAGTTGTACCAGAAGAAGATTGTCAGAAATTATAAGTTAATGCATTGTTTTGACAATCTGCTGAAACACAGAAATATAGTATGGATTTTTACTCCATTTTCTTCAAATCCAGAGAATTGCAACTTTGGTGATGGACTAAATGAATCATGCATTTCTGTTCACATCTTCTAGTGTAGTCACACTAATATCTGAGGAACAGTGATAATACTATGTCTTTGTAGAAAGCTGATGCGCAGATTGAACCATAAATTTACATTGTCTTAGGTTTCTAATACCTAACTGTTGAGGGTAAGGGAAATGACTGTGGAGATAGACCACTAGTCGGGTAGTCATTCTCTATGATATATCTTATGACAAAGAACCTTCAAATCATAGAGTAAACATGTTTTCTGTATATATGGGTTTTGTGAACATGTTTTAGATACTGTAGATGATTAAACTGTGAAAAGTAGTTTTTATTCTTCTGAAAAAATAATGTGTCATTATTATGACAAAGAGGAAAGAAGTTTTATATTGATATTTTTGGTATTGCATTGCTTCCCCTTGAATATCATTGTTTACTGCATTATACAAAGAGCATTTGAACAAAAGTAAAGCCGATACATAATTCTGTTGAATACATAAGAGGAGAACTTCTATTCTCCACTACTTCCATTCTTTATGAAGTAAATCCAGGAATTATCTTATTAAAGTCTGCCATAGTTTATGTTAGAGATTTTCTCAGTTATTATTAGATATTCCAGTGTTAATGTGCCATGCTGTTTCATGCCAGGTCACTTTATGAAGTAGTTATGTCTGCCTTGGTATTCAAATTAAGAATCATCATCTCTTTCACTAAAACTTACCCCTTGAGAAATATGTCTATAATTACCCATGTAAATTTTTTTGGTACCAAGGATTGAACTCCTGACCTTACACTTGCCCCACAGGCACTTGTGCCACTGATCTAAATCCCCAGCCCCAATTTACCCATTTAAAACTTCACATTCCACTACTGAGGTGAAAAACATCATCAATAAAGAAAATACTCAGAATATCCAGCCCATTTTTGTATGTCGATATGAAATGGTAATAATTCTGAACATTTAAAAAATTCTATGGTATTTTTGTATGATGATAAATTTTGACAATTTATGAATTTCTTTATATATTTTATATTCTGTTAAAATATCTATACAAATAAAACAGTCCAGAATGACTAGGAAAGGACATATATTTATGTAGAAATTGAGGAAGAAATGATACTGCTAAATAAGATTTAAAACATGTTTCTAAAAATTTCAACTTGTAAATCCAGCCTTTGTCAGTGATTTCTCTTTGTCTACTTGCAAAAAAAAAAAAAAAAAAAAAAAAAAACCAAAAACTGATCACAAGTTTATTGAGAGAAAGAGAAACTGCACGAGTGTATGTTTTGACAAGTGTTATTAATTATGCTGGAATTTGGAACTATTGCAGAATTTTGAAGTAAGAGTAATAGAGTGATGGGAAATTTCAATTATTATTTGAATATCTCTAAGATAAAATGGTCAGAATCTAGAACGTTTCATTCTTTAGGTTTTTCCCATTGTAAAATAAGAAATGTTCAAAGAATTACACTGATTAAAACATTAAAACAGGCATGGAACTCATAGACAATTGATGAAGTAGAAATGATTTATAATTTGGAGCAATTCCAGTTCACTAATAACATTTAATATGCATGCAAGATTGATTTTTTGCCCAACTTAACTGCTTAAGTCTCTTAAGTAAATTCATTATAATGCCTTCTGTTTATTCATGGCATAAAGTATTCAAATTTTGTTCTGTAGAACCTTTTTCTGATTTATTTTGTCAATTTTTGATTTGTCACATCTCTTACCACTGTCTCTTTCTAGAAGTAAAATTCCTTTACACATCTATTTTTACAATCTCTAGGTCCATAAGATCTAAACACTCGGTGCCAGTAGACTTTTTAAAAAGTGATGATGATTAATTTGTGTTTCAGTTTATTTTTAGGCCACATCATGAAAAAGCACAGGCTTTAATTAGTGAATTAATATTCATAATTCTTATTAAAATGGTAGCATATAAAGAAGATTCCAGCTCAAAAACTTTATGTTTGCATTTTTTCCTACAGAGGAAAGTCCTTTTTTTAGACTGATATATATGCATAGACTCACATGTATTTACTGTTACATGTATTATATTTGATCTGGAGTACATAGACAAATGTTTACATAAACATTATGGATTTATTATAACACTAAAAGTATAAATGCCACGCATTATAACTAGTGTACTAGCTTCAAAAATTCTTTTTTAGTGCAGGGAGTCAAAGCATTTGATTATGATTTCAAAAGATCAAGTAAAGACTTCTAAATTGAAGTACAACTTTTTTTACGTAAAGAATGATTCTCCTTAATCACAAGTAGTTTCGTTATCCTTAGGTGGAAAAAAATTAAACACTTATAAATGGTGAATTTGTTAGCTGGAAGTCAGCCTATTCTTTTCTCTGTATGGGAACGTAAAGATTTGTCTTAGAAAGATGGGAGACGGTTGTTCCAAACATAAAGAAGCATGCACCTTTCCTAATACTCGCCCGCTCTGGTAGTACAAAATTAGAACACTTTATTAGGTTATACTAGTAATGAATGGTGTTTTCACTAACACTGTGGATGTCAAAACTGATTTCCAGATTGTCTTATGTGCCTATCGAAACTGTTACGTCAGTTGATATTTGATATATCAACAGATGGTCGCCATGAGTATAATCACATAACAGAATTCCCTGTGAACTGTGATCAACCTTCAAGAAACTCATTATTCTATCTCAGGTTGCAGATGAATGTGATGCTAAGAAAGGGAGCAACTCTGACCTTTGTTAATATTGATCACTTATAATTCAGGCATGTCATAAAAGGATAGAAAACTGAAGGCCGAAATAACAGAAAATGAAAGGCAGTATGTGATGAAGTGTGTATTTTGGTGTTATAGATTAGATAACTGGATTTGTCTGCAATGTATAAGCAGATATCCTAAGAAGCTAATTAAATGTGTTTCAGTGCCTCTTACTTAAGTTCCTTCCAATATTCTGTACCTAACTTTGGATTAAGAATTTTATATTCATTTTCTTAAAGTAAAATTATATATTTCTGGCCCCATGAAATCCACATCTGTCATTGTATAGTAAAATAATTTCCTTGATGGAATATTTAATATATATTTTAGGTATTAACCTTATCCATTAACTGATGTATTTATATCTAATTATTAATTGGTAGTGTCATATGTGATAAGAAAATAGTTGATTTTTGAAGAAAAGAAACACAATGAATGGAATTTAAATTGTAGCTCTTTTTCTTAGTTTAGAAAAAATAGTTGGAATTTTAATACAGATGATTTTACTTGAATATAATAGTGCTTCATTTTACTCTACATAATAAGCAGTATATTGGTGCTGATATTGTTTCCAGTTACTTCTTATTTTCCAAACCATTTGAAATCAGCAATTAAATCACGGTATTGTGGAACTAGGAAGAAGCTCATAGTGGATGTAAATTAAAATAGAGAAAGGGTCAGTTTTTGTAGCTTCTGTTTACATTACTTAAACGTAGATAAAGGATTACCTATATGTGTACTTTAGTTTAATTTCCCCCAAAACAGTATTTTAAAATTTATCTCAATATATGTAACTATCTAAAAATGCCACCTGTTTCTAGGCCACAGTTTGTTAGAACTGTACTTAAAAACAATTTAACCATAAATTTTTGAAAGTTATCCTTTCCTTCTTTTATTGCATTTTCAAGTTAGTTTACATCTAAAACTAAATGTTATATGTATTTTTACCATACATACAAATTAAAAAATCACGAATCATGGTCTTAACAGAAAATGCCAATTTTCCTTATGTTGTGAGATATCTTCCTTATAATCTTATACCAATATTAACTTGGTATTTTTGAACTAGTTTTGGTTTATTTGTATAAATTAATGATGCCCTTTATTTCATTTTTTTGTGTTATACCCTTAAGTTAGGAAATGAGTTTTAATTTGTATAAATTCAGTTATCTAGATTTTCTTAGTTGGAATCTACCACACAGGTTTACTTTCTTGAGAGATTTTTCTACACTCTTCTTTGTTACCATTTGGTTAAAACACACAGAGTATTGTTACAGACTCCAAATACCAAGTTTCTCTATGTGCATATGTTTGCTCATTTCAGGGTACACTTATTGTATCAATAATGTCCTTTGCGATTTTATAGATGAAGATTCTCTCAAGAAATTAGGGTGCATGAGGCATCTGAGAAACATGCAAACAGATGCAGAGATTTGATTTTTTTGTTTGTTTGTTTGTTATTTGTCTTTTTGAGACAAAGTCTCCCTATGAATTTCAGACTGGCCTTAAACTCACTTTGTAGCTCAGACTGGGCTTGAACTCTCAAAAATCCTCCTGCATCAGCCTACTGAGTGCTGGGATTATGATCTGCTGCAGGAATTTGAAAGTGAACTTTTTTTTTCTGCTCTCAATATCTACACTACCTACTTTATTGGTTAGAAGACTTCCTTGTTAAGTCCTTTTTACCTCTTGTTGAAACTTCTAAAAGACCGTGATGAAAGACAGAGGGGAAGAGATAAGAGAATAGTGTAATTATTTCTTTTGCAGTGGTTGCTATATTTTGAATATTTTTTGTGACAGGGTATTTTACACAGAGTCTTGTGTGAAAATGTGTTAGGTCTTTGGATGTTACAGCTATATAATTGGGAAGTGAGTGGTCAGACTTTAATGTGATTGTGAAGTTAGACCTCACATACTGCTACTAATGAACCTTATTAGAAGCATGCTAGGAAATACCTACATAGCACACTGAAATACAATGCAATGTTCTTTCCTGGCCTGTGGCTTGAACTGTCTTATTTCAAAGGATTTCTAAATTAATTTTTTTCCTAGAATTTCTCCCTTACTGTAAATTCTACTTACTCACTAATACAATGTGAAAATATATTAATGTAGCAAAATACTTCAGAGAAATTAAACTTGTTTCAAATGATTATGTGTTTATAAAAAAGTACTTGAAAGCAAACAATGCAAACACAGGAACAACAACCACACACACACACACACCCATGGTTTTACAGAACCCTCTAACAATTCTAAGTAATCTGATCCTTTCATTGAAAAAAATTTATTTAATAGTTTTCCTTGTGAATCTTACTACTGCTGCCATAAATCTAGAACTAAAATTTTAAAACCTATTGAAAACTTGTTTTTTTCCCTCCTCCTCCTCTTTCTTCTTTTGGTTGGAGTATTAAGTTCAAGGAATATTGAGCAATGTCCCCAGACCCTCTGTTAATTTTTATTTTCTAGATAGTATTGTTAAGTGGCATACATTGAGCTTGAATGTGTGATACTCTGTGTCAGCCTCTTCCCTAAGTGACTGGGGTCACATGTGTGCAGCACTGTACCCTGGTGGGGTTTTTTTTTTTATGTTATCCATGTTCACTATTTAAAAGATTCTAGAATCCATGGCAATAGTAAGATATACTTTGCTTTAAAATTTTGCTTATTTAGGGCACAGACATTGGCCCCGAATTTCTCCCTCTCTACAGATGGACTGCAGTTCACTAGTAATGTTTTCAGAATACAATACTTCTCAACATTAGAAACTTTGCAAATATAAGGATCAGATGTTTTTTTTTTCCTATGCCAAACCAGTGAATAAATGTGTAGCTGTATTTTACAGATGCTAAGTGTTGACTACCTATGGTTTTATAGTAAGCATGTGCCAGAAGAGTCAAGACAAATGACCTCTTGTACTGATGTGTGGTGATCTTCATCTGTCTTACCTTTCTGACAAGGATTTAAGTCTAAATTTCATAGAGCCTGGTGCTCGCTTATCACAGAATGGATTACATGGTAGTAATGCACTGGTAGATGATTTTTAGTTATTAGTTCATAGTTCATCTCATGATGAATCTTTTATGTATTTTTATTGTGAGTGTATCTGGATTTACTTTATAAAACATGGGTTGTATTTATCTAAAATTTGACCCAGTTAATGGCCTTTTTTTACTTGTAAAGGGATAGAAACATGTTGTATATGTTCATATTAACATTGTTAGGTACTATGTATAAATATATTTAAATACCTTTTTTTGTCTTTGGCAATAATTTGCATCAATGGAATCAATTTAACTCAATGAGAAAGTGATTGCTTACTCTTAAGGTTTATTTATGTTGGAAGTCTTCCCTTTGATCTGTGTTTCAATTATAATTGACAGAACAGCTAAGCCCTGACGTTTGATCTGCACTGTGTTTGTCATGACCTTGTGCCATTCCCCAAACTGTGACAGCATGATGGGTTTGGCCTAGAGATCTAAAATGCAGGACTAGAAAGACCCAGCAGAGAAAAAAATAACACTCAGTACCTTGCGTGGGCCTCATCCTGGCTGTTATTTCTTCATTCTGACACTGTGATAATGAAACACGGTAAAGACGATGGTCTGCACTTTGTACAAATGTAATTCAGTGTCTTATATTGACCAAGATATGCTTAAAGAGCAAAATTGCTTTTCTGCATCTATATTCCAACTGCCTTAGGAATACAGAGGTATTAAACTATGAGGACTTAAGTGGTGCAAGGAGAATTTCCTTGGTGGATTGTGTTGTTTTTTTAGGGTTCTTTGGCACTGAGGTCTGTACCAATATGTGCTCTGTGAAATAAAATAGATCTTTCTACAGCGAAACGCATTCCCTCTGGGGAGAGCCCTGGTGCAGCAGTCACTCTGCCAGATGGTGTTTATGGGCTATTTGTGTAAGTGGTAAGACGCTATGAAACAAGTGAGCTTTTGTCTGATGGGAACGCAACGCACGCGCTTTGGTATGGAATGAATTTTGGTGCAATATGATTTCACTCCAATCTGCGTTGAATTTAATTGTAGTTGTACTTATGTATATGAATACCTGTTCATGCTTCTAGGTGCCTCTACTTTGTATATCGGTTTTTGTACATATTTTTACTTGAAAATATTTCATTGACATTTAAATAAACATTTGATAGTTTACAGAACAAATGTAGTGCTTTATTGTCTTTTTAAAACTGCATATTCCCTTAAATTGAAGGTCTTGGTTTGAACGGTTGGGTTTATCTATCACAGATTCTGTAAATTTGCTGATGCATCCCTCATAGTCCAGTTTTGTGCACTGAAAAGGGAAGAGTTAGCAAATTCAGTGTCCTGTGTTCACTCCTCTTCCTTACAGCCCGCATTCATCCATCCTCTGGCCTGAGATATCTAAGTTCATTTCTCTTTTCACCTGCGCTATTTTACAGAATCTTTCCATTTTTTACCTTTAATAGGAATCTTGTCTCCTGTAATTCAACCTTTGCATGCTCCCTTAAAATGATCATCCTGACACAAACGAAGTTAGCACAAAATTCAGCAGTTTCATACTTACTTAATCCTTTTTTTATTTCTAGATGAAACCCTAATTCCTTTTTAGTAGAAGTGCCCCTTTTCTCTCTGTAACCATATTAAATGTCTTTTCAATAGTTCAGTGCAGATGCCATTATTATTACTTCTTTTGCATTCCAGATTCTTATCAGAGCTGTATTTCCTTTTTCACTCCCATCTCCTTACACCAGATGTGGCAGACTTGTACCATGCAACCAAGTCCAAAGCTTAGTACTCCTGGCTTTCCCCAGGTTGGTTCAGGACCTGATCCCTGACCTCTTTCTCCATCTAGGGCTCATCCTCGTATACCTCAGCATACAATGCTATATTTGATTGAGTGGTCCCAAGTCTCTGCTTGTTTTGCGGACTTTCTCAGTGCTACAGACAGAAGCACAGTGGGTACTCGTTGTTTATTACGTTCCTAAGTTCAATGGATGAATTTGAAAGGTTTTTTATGATCTTTGTAGAGGCAGTTCTTGTGACTTCCAAATTCAAGCAACCTGTCTTAATCACTTCCCAAATCCCTGGGGCACAATACCTGACACCTGCAATTTAAAAGAGGACAGGTTTATTTTGATTCATAGTTTCAAAGGATTCAGTTCATAATCAGCAGGCTCCAAAGTAGTAAGGATGTGGTGAAAATAGCTTGGTGGAGGAAAGCCACTCATGCGATGGTGACCAGGAAGAAAGGAGTGAAGGGAGGTGTTGGGAGGAAAGTCATGTCCTCAGTTGCAGGAGAAGATGCCCTCCCCCCCCCAGCATACCTGAGTCTGTTAGTTGCCCAGGTAACAGTTCCTGTTCCAGTTGCTGCTATTTTTGTTTCTTAGAAATGGCTGGTCATGTGATGCATATTGTAAGAAGCAATCCCCAATTGACAAGCCATTTTGCTTCTGTACTTCCTGCTCGCTTATCCCATATAAGCTCTAGACCACCAGAGATCAGGTCTGATATTTTAGGAATGATCTCAGTCTGTGCCTGGCAACGTAAATAAATCTGCCTCCAAATCCTAGACAGCATTTGGTATTACTGTTCACCATTGCACAGTGACCCATCTAGTACTAGCACATGTGGCTACTAGATGCATTAGTAGATGAATCCACTGAACAGCATAACACTTCCATGAACCAATCACCTTCCAAAAGTTCCACCTTTGAGCACAGAAGAGTTTCAGGGGCCTTCTAGATCACGTTACCCTTTAGACTCCATGGAAAGAAAACTTCTGTGATACCTCTTCAGAACAGAAGTGAGCTGATTGGAAAGTTCTCTCTCTCTCTCTCTCTCTCTCTCTCTCTGTCTCTCTGTCTCTCTGTCTCTCTCTCTCTCTCTCTCTCTCTCTCTCTCTCTCACTCTCTTGCTCTCTGTCTTTCCTTCCATCAGTAAGAGTAAACTTGTTATGGGTCTTTTCTGTAAATAACACTTTTAAGGCTCTATATTAATGTCCTGAAAAACTTTATAATCTGAAATTTAGAGCAAAAGAAAGCCTAACTTTTTGGTGAATAAATCTCACGTCTTGAAACAGAAATGGGAGATTAAGTTGAAATTTTTTTCTTGTGTATGTTTTGGATAAGTAATGACAAAGGAAACTAATAACTTCTGGCACATGTAAACCTGGGACAGTTTTAAAAAGAAATACAGATGATGTGCTATATAGCTATACTTATTTTAAAATTAATGAATATGACTGAATATGTGTTTCATAAAAATATCTAGTGATTTCTTTTGGAACTGTCTGTCATTGGGCTTTTAAACATGCTGGTTCCAATTCACAAAAATTGTTGTCACCAGAATATACAGAAAAACTTTGTACTTGAATTTGTTGGCCTATATCAAAGTGCTTGAGCTTTTTTTAAATTTTGAAATGAACATAGAATAAAAACAATACAGAATTTCAAAACAATAGGAGATTAACAATGGTTAATATATTGCATATTGTTATCTTCAATGTAGTTGCTTAGATTAACAGACATAGGCATGAAACAATGACCAAACAATGAAAGTACAAACCATTCTTTTGGATAAACTAATAGTATTATCTATCTTGTGCATATATACATATGTAATCTTTTCCCTTCTGTCTTTTCTCCTTTTCTCCATCCCAATTATTATTTCCCTTTGAGCAGTTTATTCCTCTTTCACTTTCACATTATCTATTGTATGTTTTGGATCTTATTTACATTTCAGTTTTTTACTGAGACATTATGATGTTTACACATGCACGTTTCAAGAAGTGGTTGAGTTTTGAAATGATAAGGTATACTGTGATGCGGTGGGTCAGCCAGGGGTGAGGTGGGTAAGCGAGCTTTTGATTTTGCCTCCATATGTTCTAAAAATTATATTTGCAGACCCTCTAAAGATCTGACCTTGAGGGGCAGGCCTTCACAGTCCTATTATTGTTTTTATGGTGTTAAGCTTAAGAACATCTGGTCACTGGTGGGCTTTGGCTGAAACTATGATCTAAGAAATGTTTGATGTTTTGAAAGAATTCAGAAATAAAAGATAATTAAGACTCACTGTCCTTTAAAATGTTAGCTTCTAAGGTTTAGTAACCTCTTGAAAGGCATGAAACAAAATTTGTTAATGCAGGCTAAACTTCACAAAGATTGAAATCCCCTCTAGCTATAATAAAATAGCTTAATATAATTGCATATAAACCTAAGAAATATGTGGAAAGTCAGTTATTTTCCTCTCACTGAAATTTGCTCTTAAAAATTAAAGATATTAATTTTACTTTTGCCATACTAATTTGCGCTGTAACTATATGAAATGTCATTATTATCACATATTCCATTTCTTAAAAATCTAAAGCCTATAGAAAATTTATTTCATGTTCTGAAGTCTGCCTTAAACTCAGCTATGTTTACTTCTTATTCCATCATTGTCATACTGTTTTCATACTAAGTACCTCCACTGTGTTATTTAATGCAGTGAGTGCTATGGATATGTGGCTAATAATTTACGTATAGTCTATTTCATGAATTTACCAAATTTACTTTGATTTACTTTGCTAAATCACTCAAATGTGTTTTGCAAATTAGGGTAATTCTTAGGTGTCTTAAAATAACCGTGTCACCAAATGGATGTTATTTGACCTGGGTTATGGGGAAGGATTTTTCTAAGGATATAATCTGAGTTGATATTAAAGAATAGATGCAATTACCCAGGTGAAAAGAGGCAGCATAGTGAATGTTAGAAGGAGAATGAAAGGCCCTATGCCAGAAAAAGCAAGGTTTATCTACAAAAATAAGCGAGGGGGCAGTGCGGCCGAAGCACTGGGACAATGCAGGATCACATCTCTCAAGAGGAGCAGAGGTGAGGAGTTCAGTGGGAACTTTCTAGACTTTGGTCCATACTCAGTATAACAGAGATGGTGCAGACAAATGATTCCCACACATAGTCTAACACTGAACTTCAGTAAAATTTCAAATTGTTCCCTCTCCTGACATCCCTAATAGAATTTTTCAAGTAGTAAAGCCATTTGTTTTTAAAAATTATTCTTATATTTTACCTAATTAGTTCACACTCCCAAAATTGTTTGTAAACTGCAACAGGCTTTAAGATATTTATCTTGAAAAGAAAGTAATTGGAAGAATCATAGAATCAAAAATGTGGGAAATCTTGCTTCCAAGAATTTTGCAGTTGTCTGTTGCTAGTATGTTTCTATTCTTCCTTGCAAATTAGATTATATTTTGTCTATGGAGCAGACACCAACCATCATCTCCAGGATGGTTTGTGATTTTTTTCAGAATTATTCTTCTTGTACCTAATCGTTTAATCTTAACTTTCACAATTTCTTTTTTTGGGCCCAACCCAAAATATTAAACAAACCTACCTCACACAACATGTCATCACAAGAAGATATTATTCATTAGATTCTAGTACTCCATTATGAACATTTTCACTACAATAAAATTATTTCAAGGTTTTCCTGCTTTCTTAGAAATATGAAAAAAGATCTTTTCATTTTTCCACTCCATAATTCGCAGTGAAAGGCAATTAGCTCTTCTAGTAAGATGAATTTAAGAATTTTGCCTAAGGATTAGAGAAATAAAGAAGATATTATTTGAGGATACATGAGAGGTATTCCACAGAAAAGAGGGTTCTCGCATATAATACTTTTGCACTCAAATTTCCTAAACCTGAGGTCCTATTGTCAGATATTTTTCTCTGAATTTGGAGTGATACATCAGTTTCTTTAAAAGAGTAATCTGATATCATCCAAGTGTACCAAATGGTAAGAAAAGCTTAATGAATAAAATCTATGATTATTAGTAAAATACTTTCTCAAATTAAAAGTTTTCAGGTTTCAGTGAGAGACTACTGAATCAAAAGAAGAAAGGGCAAAAGGAATTGAACACTGGTTCAAATTCATAATTGATGTCATTTATCATTTTTATTAAACTTTGTATTAAGCCTGTGCTTGAAGTTGACTAGGATGCTCCTCCCACTTTCAGAGAATAAAACAGATGGCAGCTATCCACTTATAGAGGCTAATTTCCACTTTTGGATGAAGAAAATTAATCCCAAATCACTAAAATGACTTTCCTGGAGCAACAGAGAAAGTCAAAGAGACCAGAATAGAATTCTGATGATCAAATCACTCTAAATTTCAGACTTTTGTATTA